AATTAGAAAGGTTTGGGTTTTTTTTATTGCAGTTGGCTTCTCCTGCTTTTTTGTCACAACCCATTCTCCTCCTTCCCCCTCACCCCCTGCCTTGTGAGCACTGCAGAAGCAATGACTATTCAGGAAAGATATAAATGAAGAGCAAGAGTAAGGCTTGGTAAATAGAAGTAGCATTCTATACATTAAAAATATAGTGGGAAAACACATTTATGTAAATGTGGAAGAAACTGACTAGCTTGCATTATGGAGGGAAACAGCTTGAAGAGTATTCTTCATTCGTTTAGAACAAATAGCAGTGAACAATTCACTAGGTACCTGGAAACTATATTGTATTGTTTGCTTTATTATGTGTTCACAAGTGTCTTGCAAAGTAATCATCCTGTTTAAATATTTTGGCTTGTCCAAACATCAGTGAAAGCGATTCTGAAAAACATTCTAAATCAGGAGTTGGCAATGTTTTTGGGCAGAGTGCCAAAAACACCTGGACTTGTAAGCTGTTGGCATGCCAAGGGTGAATGGCAGGGAGCCGTGAAATGCCTGAACCTTGTTGTGGCAGCACAGTCCTGGCCCCTCTCCAAGGCACAAGTGCCAAGCAAAATCTCTTTGTGCGCCACGCTCTGGCATGCGGGCCAGGGGTTGCCTACCCCTGTTCTGAATGGAATAGTTTAAAGGAGGAAGAGTTACATGACCATACATCTGTCATATACTCTTGCTTGTTAGGAACAAGGATAACCAATGTACAAGACATGTAATTGGTAAAATTTGCTATCCCAAAGATTGATAAACTTAAGATTATGGTGTGGAGAAGTGATTTGTGCTTAAATGTAATTTTGACGTTCTCTGAAAAGCCAGGAACATTCTTCCTGGCCTGAGGACATTGGACTCTAGGGCCCAAATCTGTGAACTTTTCTTATGAATAGTGCCTAACTTTGGAGTACTACTTAGTGGCTGCTTACAGACATTAAAATTAAATAAATTTAAAAAAATGGTGCTTTACTTTAAATTCTGTATGCTCCCATGCTGAGCCCAGCATGTGCCCAAAAGAGGTAGTGCATTAGTTGAACCTGGCTCTCCTGTCTAATAGATTGGACATTTTAGTGGGGCTTTTTTGGTGTCTATCTAGTAGCTGATTGAATCAGCTATTAGATAAAAGTACCAAAAAGACCCAGTGAAGTGCCTGATCTATACAGATGCTGTGGAGGCATTTTGCAATAATGTGCTAATTATTCTGGCAAAGCACACTTTAGGGTTTTGGGGTTTGTTGTTTTTGTTTTTTAACATCTGCAAGCAGCCAGTGTGAGTAAATATGGCAGAGTATTGACTGTAATCTCCCCATCCTGAAATTCACATGCAAAAGGAAACACAAAAGATGTGGTACAGGTAAAGGTAACATAGTCTGTTAAAGTTGTCTAATGCTTTCCATTTCAGGATTCTGTTTTCAGTTACTTAAAATGTTGTCAGAATTTAACTCCTTTTGGTTGAAATTTTCCACGCTGGGTATTTGCTTAGACTGAATTTTTGGTAAATTTTACCTAAATAGGGCTCAGCAGTTTCCAAGGTCAGAGCTTGCTTTTTCTTATTTAAGATTTTTCTGGCAGTCACTTTAAAAAGCAGTAGAGTAAGGGCTTGAAATTTGTCAGGGCTGTTTCTCAGAGATGTTTCCTTCTGGCTGGACAGAGGAATGGGGATTGGGAGTCATAGGATCATAGTTTGGAATATTTGGGTGGTGAGTTGGGGATGGAGAGGTGGAGAGGGAAATCTGAAACTTGTTATGTAGAGAGACTGGAACTGGGAATCATAGGAGGGAAGATGTAAAAGAGTGGGTCTGGCAAGGAGGTGGGTGGTGGGAGAAAAAGTGGGGCCACTTCACCAAAGAGTTTGAAGAGATAAGCAGCCAGGGAGAGAGAAAATGGAAGCAAGTAGCCAGAAAAAAGAAGGCTTAGCAGAGAGTGAGATTGGGGATGTGAAGCACAGTAAGGCAGGCTAGGACTTGGAGGGAGAGGGAGAAGGAGAGAACTGATGAGGAGTTTGGAGGTGAAAACTGGGACAGGTTGGGTAAAGACTGGGGCACAATGCAGGAAAAAGGAAAGATTTGGGCTTGGACAGGAAGCCTGGACAAAGAGATTAGACCAAGTACTGAGATCGGGACAGAGAGATCGGATAAGAAGCCTGTGGGATAGAGACCAAGGACTAGGTAGGTAAGGAGTAAACAACGAGCCAGGGGTGGGGAAGAAACAGGAATGTCAGGAGGGCACAGCAGAAATTAAGCTCGTTTTACTAAGCCAACACAGTTTGGTCTGAGGACAGAAGTGTTTGTTTACTTATGGGCATGTCTGTTGTTCTCAGTAATGAGCTAATTCATACAAATCTGACCGTTTCGTAGCTGTTAGCTATCTTCACAATATACCCATTGGTTAAAACATGATGATGTTTCCATTTTACACATTGGGCACTAAGATTAAAAAAAAAAGTGTTAATTTTGCATTCCCAATTTGAGAGAGAGAAGACTTGATTGTTCAGGGTAAAGGATATTAATTACCCTGTGTTGAGTATAGGTCACATTTGAATCATTGCAGCCTTGAGTGCAGTGAGATAATGATCCTGTGGTAAAAATAACAGTCATGTTGTTATCACAATCCATAAGTGCATGGATTTGAAATGAAGGATTTCCAGCTTAATTCTGGCATTTCCTTACTTTAAAGTGTTTGATTTGGCCCCTTCAATGTTGTTTTATCTCTTTGTGGAATGTAACCATTGTTTAAAAATCAGTGTGCTGTTCAGAAAGCGGAGGTTTCTTTATTTGCTTTTGATATTGTCATCTAATATAGACGTTTAAAAAATAGTAGTTAAATCATACAGCTGCTTCACCTTGTAAGGAAGATTCCTTCTCAGCTTCAGTTATGGTAGTCTGGGAGAGCTGGGGATGTGACATTGTGTCTATTTACGTTATCAGAGTTGTGTCTAGGAAGGAAGGGAAAATGCCCCATGTTGGCTGTCATAAATGAAGAATGGACCCATCCAGGCAACCAGCTCTATTATTGTGCTTTCTTAGGACCAGGAACTGGCTTTGCAATTCTAGACTCCTCTGGCTGAAACAGGAGAGCACCCTACTAGACTCCAAATCCATAGAAAATTTATTAAAACAATTTGGGGGTGGGAAGTAGTGTGCCTATCTAGTGAAAGTGGCTGTATGAATGAGCAGTTGCACAGAACCTGTATATGATGGTGGGAACACAAGTTAAGTGTTTAAGCTGCTTTGGATTGAGTTTCTCAGTGATCTGAGCATAGGTAACTCTAGTCCTGCATTACTTCATGCACCAGATGTAAAAGTCTGCCTGACGGCTGTGGCAGGATGAGATGCTTTGTGTAGCATATGTACGCTAGTTTTGAAGGAATCAGAACTTGTGGCAGAGGTGATATCTTTTATAGACCGACTATATGCAAAAAAAAAAAAAAAAAAAAAAAAAATTTTTTTTTGCAATTTTTTGGGCAAATTAAAAAAAAAAAAATTTTTTTTTGCAATTTTTTGGGCAAATTAAAAAAAAAAAAATTTTTTTTTGCAATTTTTTGGGCAAATTAAAAAAAAAAAAATTTTTTTTTGCAATTTTTTGGGCAAATTAAAAAAAAAAAAATTTTTTTTTGAAAGTTTTTGGGCACATTCACACAAAAGAAATTCCTGCCCAGGAGAGCATTCCATCTCCCCACTCTCCTTCGAAATACGAAACATCGTAGCCAGAAGGAAACATAATTCTAGGTCCTGGTTGCCACCAGACAGCTTCAAAATAAACAGACTGTTCCAACTTTTATCTGAGGCTAATTTGCACAAAATGAACTATTCCAACCAGGAGATCTTACAATACCTTCAGCTCTCCTGTAAAATATGAATTTTCATTTCTATCTTGGAGAAATTTTACAATCTTTGTTTTCTCCTATGCCTGAAAAAGGGTGTATGAGCCTGAAATCTTGCAAATAAAGACATTTTTTTTGCAAATATCTAGTTGGTCTAATAAAAGGTATCACTTCTGTCACGAGTTCTGTTTCCTTTTGCCTGTACACCAATACAGCTACAACCTGGATATCTGCTAGTTTTGAAGTTACTTGTATTCTGCATCTAGTTTACCCTTAGAGGGCAGCATTGTTCTCATTGTGCTCTGGTATTTTGCTGACCAGAAATTCTATTGTGCATGTAATGTTTCCTGTAGTTGTTGCTAAACCACACGTGGTAAAGAACACTATAATGAATACTTAAAGCATAAAGCTGAAAGTCGTAAGGGAGAGTGCTTTAGAGATCAGTTAAATTAAAAAACTCATTCTGTTTCTTCTCTTAGTAAAAGGTGGGTTAAATACCTGGTACATTTTGGCATTAAATGAACAGCATTCTTAGCTCATGCCTGTCTTTATGAAAGCACAAACAGTTAGTTGCCAAGAAGATATTTTTCTTTTCCCCTTGCCCTCCTCCCCTTCCCTTGCAATCAGTGTGCGTCACTCATTGGATAACATACCCAGTAATATACTAAAGCTCTGGATTGAAGAATTTAGAATGTGAATGTTGCAAGCTCTCTGTTTGCAATACTTGTGTCCTGCCTTTGGATATTCAGTAACAAGGTTATCTTTCATACTGAGATGGAAAATAAAAGCTTTGAATAGAGGATGCCGACTGAAAGCTGTCTGGGTTTGAACTTGTCTATGTCACTCATTTTACATATGCTGGAGACCTGCTTCAGGATCGTCGTAGCAAACAAATTGCTTTTGTTTTCATTCCAGAAAGTGAGCCTGACTAAAGAGCTTTTCTTTCATACAAGAGTCTGCAAGAGTGGAAGTACAGAAGTTCACTGGTCTGTACTGTAGTAGCTAGCTGTGTGTATTTGGGGAGGGAGGAGGGGGTGAGGGGAGGCTTGTCCTGTAGGTCTGCTTAGATCTTTGAGGATACACATTGTACATTCTGAAACTTGTATTCCATCTGGAAAAAATTAGACACACTCAGACCTTTCCCACTACAGGTCCGATCAGGAAGCCCAAGTTCGTGGAAAGTCCCAGAGTGCCAGGAGATGCAGTTGTTGTACCATTCAGAAAAGTGTCAGAGCCAACAGAACCCAATCAGAATGGTAAGAGAGTGTTTTCAGTGCTGTTCTTATTTTACTTAATAGATTAGTTTTTCATTTCACAGGAGCCAGGGTTATGCAATAATGAAACTTAAGTCTCCCTGGTAAGAATGTTTTGCACAATTGAACATGTTTGTGGTAGGGAGAAGCAGTTTGCAAAAAAAGATTGTGATTTTCTTTCTTTTTCTAGCAGTCTTAGCTCTTGGAGATGTGCACATGGTGTAGGCAAAATTGAGTGAGGGCTGTGTGTCACATTTATGTGAGAGGCCTGTTACAATTTTTCTGAATTCAAGTTGAAATTGTGATAGTTCTGTACTGAATACAATACTGCATTTAGAAAGCTTGCTAAATAAGAGGACTTTTAACAATAGACTCCTGTGTTGGCACCATAACCCTTAATGTTAATTGGTATTCTTGAAAAGCTTCAAGTTCATTAAATTTGACTAACACATAACAAAGTGTGGCTTCATGAATGTCACGGCCAAAGCAAAATGACGCTCAAGTCAGTAAGTAGATATATGTACTATAATGAGGATTTTGTATTCATTGTTATATTTTTTTTAGATTAATTTACAGCTTAACTGACCTTACTAAGGTCACTGCTTGCAGTCAAGTTACAGTTGATCAAATTTTTTTTTGTGTGCTTCAGTGTTAATGGAATTCTTAGGTTTGAAAGGGAGAGCTTCATTTGAAAATTAAATAATGCCATTAATACCTGTAAGTTGAAAGCAGACTAGCTCGTTTCATTTTCTCTTCCATTTCTACTTTCCTGATGCCACAATGACTGAAATTTGCAATACTTTTAAGGAAAGCATTTAAGAACACACAAAAACAAAACAAAGCAAAAATAGCAGAGAGACTTTGCAAAAACATTCCTTGTACTGAATTTTGTTTTTTTGTAAATCTGCTTTTTTTTAAATGGGTTTTTAATTGTGGGTATAAACTTGCATCTCTCTTAAATTTAATTTCTTTTAATATTAAAAAACAGTTCACCTTTTCTGAGTTGTGTTATCTTCAGTTCAAAGTTCATATTTCATTTATTGTCTAATTCAATAATGAAAACAAGGGATATCTCTTTAATAGACGGAGCTAATTTCTAAGTAAATAGGCTTTTGACTTCAGGTTTTCCGTTTTCTTTTCAGCTGGTTAATATGATAAGACATTCAGCAATTTGTTTGCATTACTGGTATATATCCTATTTGCAGATAGTATGGAAACACCTTGCCATCTTCTTAGCATCACTGATAATAGGAGTATTAGAATTAATAGTTGCATTGAATTATTGACTCTTACCTCAAGTGCCTTGACTCGCAATGACCTGGGGTCTGGGTTTTCCATTTCCTGTAGAAAAACACAATTTTTTCCTTAAGAGGAGACGCACAGATTTTCCCCTTTGAAGTGGGAAACCATAGATTTCCCCTTGTAGACTGGCAGATTTCTAGCCAGCAGATTTCCACCATTTAAAGTGCTTCAGTGCCATGACTTAATAGAAGTGCATGGCTTTACAGTACTTAGAAATGGATACAACGCTTTAATTAACCCTTGTTAAATGAGGTCGTTGAAGCGCTGTATGTTATAGCACCCTAGCAACCTACAGCGCTTTAAATAACTGTATGCTGGTCAAATTCCTGGTCAAACGGGAGGCAACTGAGTACCTGGTATGTGCAGGGAGGCTGAGAGGCTCCCCCTGCCAAACACTGCACTTCTGTCATGTTAAAGAGTGCTATAATTTTATAGTACTATAAAAAGTACTCTAAATTATAGCACTATAAAGCATGCATGGAGCACTTCTGTATGCACCCTAAAAGACAACGCTAAGCTTTCCATCCTCAGAGAGTGAGCAGTGTTTGTCAGGCTGAGGACCTTAGATATTGTTATCTCTTACCTCTGGTCTGGCAGGAAATTGCATTTCCACTTGACCACCAGCATGCCACAAAATACTTTTTGGTTTTTTAAATCATTTTTCAGAGAAGGCAAAAGAACAAAAAGCTCATAATTTAAATCCTTTGGCTGCGTCCAGATGACCATAGATGTGCAGTATATGGCGCCACCAACCCATCTACAGTGCCATACAGTGCACATACAGGCATTTCCCAGGCTGCTGTCTTCCCCGGGGGGCAGGGTGCTGGTTTGACCATGGGAAATCCCGGGGCAAAAAACAAAACCCCATGCCTTAAAAAAGCATGGTGGTGGATGTGGCGGCAGTGTGTGCTGCCCAGAACCAGAGCCTGACCTGCCGGAGCCATACTCCAACTGCTGGCCAGGCTTTCAGTTGCAGGAGCACTGCAGCTGCATCTCCCTGAGCCCCTGGGACTGCAGGTACAGCTGCTGGGGCCAGCATAGTTGCTGGGCCCAGCTTCCCCTACCCCCACCCAGCATGACCTGCCATGAGCCAGAGGGGCACATGGCACAGGCGTTCCCTGGGGACTAGTAGCAGCAGCACAATGTGTGCCACTGCTGCTTGTCCCTGGGGAGACGATAGTCCCTGCTCATGTGGATGCGGCCTTTGTGACTGATATGAGACCTTTGGTAAAATAACACTCTTGGTGTACTCGAGTTGTTTTGGAGCTACTATTAGCTGCACAATATCATTGTAAATGTGGACTAGTTAGTGAAGACTAGTTAGTGCACCTTTTTACAGGTGTAGGCTGGTATGACCCACCCAGAATTGAAGGTGGGTGGGCACTAGCAACTCGCTACAACTGCCACTTGTCACCCAAGGTAGCATGGGGAAAGCACCCGCCAAGAAAGCCCTGCATCTGTGGGCTGCCTCCATAGATTCGATGGCTATAAGTTGCCAACTCCTGAGTTAGTGTGCGACTGACAGTAACTCTAACATTAAATATTCAGTAGTGACTGACAGTACTTTTTGAAATCTGTGTGATGTCTCTGAAACTTCTGGAGGGTTAATTAATTTAATTTTGTAAGCAAGGCTTTCTGTAAACCTCATGAAGGCAGAATTGTGGAAGTAAATTGGAACTTTAAACTGCAGGGAGAAGCACAGAATGAAGAAGTCCTAGAAGCCCCATGATTTAGCAACAATGCAATTCTGCTGTTTGAAAGTATATTTCTACTCTAAAAAAATAACTAGGAAGGTATGTGAGTTGTATGGGTTTTTTGGCCCTGCTTAGAGAGAGTTTTTCTAATTACCATACCTGCAAATTCAGCCTGAGCTCTGGTAGTCAAGTGGCTTAATTTCCTAGTTAGTTATAGTTATCAGCACCTGCCATAAAATTTCTTGAGGCAAAATCTTGCTGTAGCATACTTGCTTAAGCCCATGGCTTTCTATGAGTTTCATTTTTCTTTATGATGAATGTGGTGGGGGGGAGGGGAAAGCTTTTGGATCATCCTACTACTGTATTGTGTTTTCAGGATTAGTGTGAAGAAAGCAGCAGCAAGTATATACCTGAACAAACCTAGTGCAGATCTTCCCCCCCACCAATTTTCAGAGTAGAACTCTTAAGATATCTGTTTAAAATTAAATGAAAGTTCCCATATGTTTTGAGATAATAAATACGAAACATAATACACTTATGTTGCCTTCCAAGTTAGTTATCCTGAATGTGATTGGTGATGAGCTGTTTCATGCCATACTTAGAGTTACTATCTTGACATGTCAAGAGGGAACAAACCATTTTTGGATTGATTGGCCCTGAACCCTAATAGCTGCATCCATGACCCAAATTGCTTCTGTTTTATCTAGAGCAGGGGTTCCCAAACAGTGGTACATGTACCTCTGGGGGTATGCATTAGGGCTGTGTGAAGCTTTGGTCCCTGATTTGGAGGAGATTTGGCCTGATTCTGTGGCCAAATCTCCAAATTGAATCAGAAGACTCTTTAATCTCTCTGAATTGAATCAGAACCCTCTGAATTGATTCGGAGAGATTTGGTGATTTGGACATAAACACAGCTGTAAATATTTTTTCTGCATACTTCAAGGTAGCAGGCAGTGTGTGAATGCTGCGATGCTGGGGAGGATGGAGCATCCAACAGGATCATGGGGGGCTCCCAAGTACATTCAGCAGCAGACCCAGAAGTGGACCAGAAGCACTTCCGATCCACTTCTGGGTTCACTGCCAAGCATGTGGGGGGGGGCCTGTGCTCCTGTGGGATGCTCCAGCCGCCCCAGCATCACAGCATTTGCAAGCCATGCCTGGTACTTCAAGGTATGTAGAAAAAACATTTAAAGTTCTGTCTATGGCCAAATTGCTAATTCTCCGAATCGGCATCAAGTCTTCAGATTCAGATTTGGCCAAATTGAATTGGGGACAGTGATCTGAATCAATTAATTTAATCACTGTCCCTGATTTAGGACAAATCTGAATTGAATAGGGCCTGTTTCACACACCCCTAGTATGCATGACATCTCTGGGGGGGGAGGGTACACAAGAGAAATTGTGTAATGGTGGATTTAATTTTCATTGTAATAATAATTGGCATTTAAGGTGTTAAAATAGAAAACATGCTGATGGGGATACCAGGGCAACTGGTAAATCTGGAAGGGGACAAGCAGTAAGAAAGTTTGGGAACCTCTGATCTAGAGGCTTTCATTTAACTGACATCTTCATGTTAGTTCTTCCAAAATGGTTAGTGAACAAACCTGCTGAGTGTCATCAGAGTACCTTTTCCACCTTGTTAACAAGGATCCATTTAAGGCGTGTGTGCGCGCGTGTACACAAATGTCCACCAGCTCACGTGTATGTGTGCACTACTCAAGCTCACTGTAGTGGTATCTTGAATCTTCCATGTATATATCCTGACAAATTTCTTGAGCATAAATAAATATTGTATTCTATTGATAGGTTTTTGGAATTTGGAGAACAGGGATATCAGGATATAAAAGAAACTCAAAGATCCATGCTCCCAACTCTGTTGTAGTAACAAAGGGGAGACTGCCAAACAAAACCAACAAGGCCATCTCACAGCTGAAGATGTATAGAACCCATTTCTATCAGCAGTTTCTTCTATAACAAGAACAAGCAAGTTAGCAAAATATAAGAGCCTTGAGATCTTTCGATTAAATGCAAGCTTAACAGCTCGTGCACCTACCAAAATCAGTAATCTGATCTTGAAAAAGATATCTTGCCTTACCTCAGTTGCAAAGAGTGGCTTAATGCTACTACCATCCCTGCACTAGTTTATGCAGGTTACTAACACCACATAACAAAGAAACAGAATTCATGGTATGCATTCACATGGTTTGGGAGAGAAGGAATAAAGGACTCCCAGTTGTCTACAGACCTCTGGATGAAAACCTTTGCTAGTTTTCTGAAGGAATTGTATTAGACTATTGCTTATTCTGGAGGAGGGGGCAAGTATTGTAATAGTAAATATTAGACTCCCCAGATTCTGTCCCCTTAACTACCTATACAAAAATTACAACAAGAATATCTAATCGTTCATATCCTTCTATGCAGAGACTATCAATTTCTCAAAATAATCTCTGGGCTGAAATCCAAATTTTCTAAGTGTTGCTGGATTCTTTGCTAATCTTGTATGATTGGGTAGCAGCAATATCAAAAACAGTTTCTTTGCCTTCAGCTTGCTAAAAGTTTTTGTTGTGCGATTTGCAATCAAAACAAACAAACCCTCTGATTAAATAAAGAATGAGATTCTTGACAAGAATTAATCTCATTTACTTTTAGGGAAATCTGTAAGAACTTCTTTTAGGATAAGGTTCTAGTTACCGTAACTGCAGAGGCTAATTTAAAAAAAAAAATCAAGCAACCACAAATATGCTTTACCAGATTTTCCTAGAACTTGGAAGGATGAAGAACAGAATTCTCTATGAAGTCTTTTATGGATCTAACACTGTAATTATGAATTACCCATTCAACTCAACTACTGTGGTGATGGGTGCTACAAAAATTTGACCTGGCTGGAAAACAGGGGTTTTTTTTTCCCTTGTGGAAAAATGTTTTTTTACACTTTTTTTATCAAAATTCCATGGCAAATGCAGACTTGTGCAAGACGTGTAAGTCTTGATCTATTCTAATGAAGGAGAAAGAATTTTAAAAAACCCAGTATTTCCATGTACTTTGAACATTTTACAATATTTTTTTCTTTGTCGACCAGACATTTTCATTAAAAAGTTGTTTAGTTGAACATCCAAAATCTTACATTATAAAAAAGCAAAAAGTTTCCCCCTTTTCTTCAATAAACAGTTCCTAGTAGGAATGGAATCCAGTTTGGGTTTTGGATTCCTCTAAGATGACAACAAGAGAGAGGGAATGATGGCGAGTGTGCTGGTTGGTTGGTTGGTTTGTTTATTCTGTGAGATGGGCATAGGTCTACTGGAAATTAAGTGAAGCTACTTCCTCCTTAATTTAAAAAAACAGAACTTTAACTTCCATTGTCATGTTATGTAGATACCACAGAATTGCACTATCTATGAATACCATAATGCTTATCTTCAGAATAAATTTGTTGGACTTATGCAGTGGAGAGTTGCAACTCTACACACTGCTTAAATGTCCATCCCAAGTCTTCTGTTAATTGCCGTAGGTAAAATTCACTTGCTCTTTTTAGTTGAAATTCTGCTTTCTTATCAGAAATGTCATTACTGTATAGTGTTACATAGCTGTAAATTTGGGAGGAGAGTTTTTTCTCATCCTGTAGTGCATATGGAATAGAAATTAAATTGTGACTGAAGGAAATATTTTTAAAATTTCCACATAAGTTTGTCTCCATATAATTTGAGAGGGAAAAAATAAGTTTTGGTGCCAACTGCTGCTGTTATCCTAGTTACAGAAAAATGATATTCCCTTATAGACTTCTGCCTTGAATGATACTCCCTTATAGGTGTTTGCATATCATTAGGGAGCAGTGAAGTACCTACATGATTAATAATGAAGCTTTAAAGGCACTGAAACATCTGAAAGAAACTTAGATATTGAGCAGCAATCATTTGGGAGTTTAATCATTGAAGGACGTTAGGCTGCTAATGGACTTCTGTTGAGGGGCCAGACAATTCAGCTCAAACAAGCAAAGTTAAATTTTGTTAAGTATTTTCTATTGTGCAAGCATGAGTTGTACATAAAATGGTTACTTTGACCACCGCATCAAACGTGGAACTAGGAATTAAAATTGGCTTTACATTGTTCCTTTGTAAACGTCACTGAATATCAGCTATGTCCATACTACACTTAGAGTATAGCCCTCAAAGAATGTATTGAGGTTCAGTTGGCTAAGTGAAACCAGGGAGGAAAGATGGTGAAGTGAACCTGCCAAATCCTCAGTTTCTTCTGCCTTCTAGAAGATGGGGTGCAGCGCCACAGAGATGGGTGGCTTATTTTTAATCTCTGGTCTCATCTTGGATGCATCGGTTAATTTATGCATACATGGCAACACAGTTCAGCAGTCTCTTCTTGAAGGAGAGCAATAGAATTTATTTTAATTCAAATTAAAAATAATACATTTTGGATTTAAAAATTTTAAAAAAATCAAGACATCTTATCAAACAAACATTCATTTGATAGTCAGACACTAAAAATGTAAGTTGGCCTACATATTACAAGAGGGGTTTTTAAGCATCTGATGCACCACCATGAATTTTAAGTACTTTCCTTATAAAAGCCCCTAAATACTTCCATCAGAAGTAGATTCAGCTTCTCCCTCCTGTATATCACTGATTAGGGAAACATGTTTTATTGATGTGTGCAAGTCACCTATTCTTTCTTCGTTCATTTTTCCATTTGTAAGTTTGAACAAATGATACATGCAAGCAAAGCAAGTTCCCCCTGGGCCCATGTGAGAAACATTCAGCTAAGTGAGGCTGGGTGTTTGAATGATCTTGTTCTGACACTTTCGCAAGACTGATCAAATCGGAGGTGGCTTAGCCCCTGGTTTTCTTTCCAAGGAATGACAAAAGATATCAGAGTATGGAACTGCTGACATTCAGGTTGCACACAATCCAGAGCAAGTAGACTGTACATAATCGAAACAGTTTAGCCAGTAGTTCTTTGCTGCTTCAATTGTGAAGGCAGAGAAAAACAAGTCTTCACTGCTGTGTGCTTGCCATCCCTACCTAAAGCCCCTGATCTGAACCTGAGCAGGTTACCTTCCACTAACAATCTTTGTGGATGATCAGATGCAGTAATTCATGCAGTTCATAATTAAATTGATTTTTATTTTTCACTAGAGAGGGTACATGTCACAGATTTTAGTTTGGAAAATGACACCCAACTTTGTCTAAACTGATAGTTAGTTGTTAGTAGGTCTGCTGGCACTTGGGAAGATATGGTGAATGGTTTAAGAATAAGCAAATGGGATAGTGGTCAGTAGCAATGAGTAGTAAAAAAATTAAAATGTTGACATTTTAAATTCTCATTTTTAGATTTAGGAATTAACAATGGGCAGTAATGAAAAGGTATTTCCCATCAGGTCTTGCCAGTCTGCTTTCAAATTCAGGAAGACAAAACTGTCAGTTTTGAGTGTTTTTGTTTGCAGCAAGGAGGGTTAGAAATTTGAAGACACAGAGCAAGCTATTACAAGGTAAAGCAGGGCATGAATGGCAGCATGTCAGCTAGACTGTGTATATTCTTGTGTCCTGTGGTAAATAAAAGCTTACCCATGGCTGCTTTGGCCTCAGTGAAAGAGAACTAAGCTACCATGGTTTAGCTGTGTGGTGAGAGCATGTATGCAGGTAGTTAGCCCAGAGCCAGCTTATGCGCTGTGAATCCCTGCTCTTGTTGTACCTCATAGGAGCTCATTTGTATGTTCAGGTGCTAAATGGAGGGATTCTGCTGCAAATTCCAAATGCAACAACAAAGCACTGAATACAGGGTACTACTGTTGTTAATTGTTGTCTTGCAGTTAACATGACATGGTTTTGCTGTCTTAACTTCTGCTTTTATAACTTAAAGGTCTTCTGGGTATTTCCAATGTAATATGATTTACCATCTATTACATACATGCCTGTAGTAAATGAAAACACCATTGATTTTCATAGCGCCTTAATAGTGCTGAATAAATCAGTGGTCAGTGTAGACAAAAATTGTCCTCTAAAATGTTATCAACTGGTTGGGGTTGATTTACTCGACATATTTTTACCTATTGAGCAAAAATGCGAATTAATCCAAACCTAATCTACATCTTAAACCTTAATGGATTAAAAAAGGGTAAATGACATTATTACATCTATTACAGTCTGTTAAACAAAGCCTTGCTGACAGAAGAGTCCGTGTTGAAATTTGACTGCATTTTTTTCTTTACCTCTAGCAAGTTTCCAAGTATAACACTGTAATTTTTCATCAAAGTTCAATCTTTTATTTTTGTACAGAAGCAAAGCCTGATAAAGAATCAAACTGTTCACCTGCAGCACAAGAATTGATGACAAGATTGGGATTTTTACTGGGAGAAGGGATCCCAGCCTCTGCACACATAACTCTAGAAGAAAAAAATGAAACCATGGTATGGTAACAGAAGAGAACATAGTTAATGTTCAGCCTACATCTGAGATAAGAACCATTTTTCTTTTCTCCTACACGCTAATTGCAGTCAATCAATATATAGTGAAACACCAACTTTATTAATAGAAATCCATATCATGGAGCTTGTAGCTGAATCAAAGCAGTTAAAAATGTATGTGGAATCTTTATTTGTGAAATGATCTTTGCAGCTTCTTCCCACAAGGATCCAGGACAACAAGAATTTTTTTCAAAAGAATTGATTCAGACCATCAATTTTGGAAGTAAAAGCTGCAGCTTACTCTTGGTTTGAATAGCTTCTGTTCTTTAATGTGGCTTTCAGTGCATTTGGGGCGGGAATGTTTTTTACTCCCACCCTCATGTTTTGTGAGAGAGAAAAATGTGAATAGGGTTAAAACAGGACATGAGGGATATGAGGTTTTTCCCTTGTGAAATCCCCTGTTCAGTCTGCTTAGTGAAGTATGTGTTTGAGGTTGCGAGAGGAATGAGAGGCTGATGTCCAGTCTTTGTATGAGAGTGTCATGTGAGATGGCACAGTAGCAACCAATCTCTTTACACTTATCCCAGACCTCATAAATCTTAGAGCATCCAGAGTGCGAGGGAGAGAGAGTGAATAAAGCATTTGTTTTTAGCAGAATGACTAAAAGAAAGGATACTTGTCTCACAGCAACTGTTTCCTTGAATAATGTATTTCTCCTTTATTTTGTCAAAAATTACTTTTGAAAGAGTATTTGAAAACATGTCACTAACCCTCTAATATTATTAAAGATAAAAATTAAGCATTAAATGTTTGCTCAGAGAAAGGATCATCCATTTTTGTTGTCTTATATTTCTCCTCATTGGTTCTAATTTTCAAAAATGTGCTGTCTGCTGTGCAGTAACTGTGTGTTTCATTCATGTTGCAGTGCACAGTAGCCAGTCAAGGAGTCAGTCCCTGCTCTACACTAACAAGCAGCACTACATCACCTAGCACTGATAGTCCCTGCTCAACTCTGAATAGCTGTATTGGCAAAACAGCAGCTAACAAAAGTAGTCCCTGTGGGACCATTAGCAGCCCTAGCTCCACATTGGAAAGCAAGGACAGTGGAATTATAGGTAAGCATCTTCATTCTTAGTAATGCAGTGACGTAATTGATACCTTCTGTCAGTTTGCTGCTCACTGTCAATATATAGACAAGGACCAGACCACAAGCCTTGAATAGCTCCTAATGTATTCCTGTCCAATTATACTTGGTAGTTTGACTCTAGTTCTGAGAACTTTATGATTGAGAAATTTCAAAAAGTACTCCTTGTTTCCAGTAGCTATGTTACTGTTAAGTAGGCATCTTCTCTCTCTTTTTCCTTTTCATATTTCTAGTGGCAATTAAGATTTGTTTTTTTCATTAATTATTTCATCCACTTTCTCTCCAGTTCTTTCTGTTTTTTAACATACCAGTGTCTGTTTCTAACTTTATCCTTTTCTTTGTTTGTCCTCCTCTTGATATGTGCTTCTTTACATCAGTATTTGGCCATGGTCATGCTCACAGTAGCTTGAAACGAATCTGAGTTTCCAACTGAAAAAAATATTTAGTAGTGCTGTTGCCAGGAAGTAGCACTCTACGTTTTACGAGTCCAGCCCAGATTATGGTATTTAAAAACCAAGAAGGTAAATGGGGTGGAAGCAAGAGTTAAAACAGGGTGATAGTGATATCTGAATGGTGATCCTCCATCAAATGGAGAGCTGTGAATAGAAGGGATTGCAGAGACTCCATAGCATGGAAGGAATATTTCTGGAGTTAAAGCCACCATCTTAATAAAAGTCAAGGATTACCTTGCTTACCTTTGCTAAATATTTTTTTTAATAAATATTAAATGAAAAATTGAAACTCTGAGCTACTTATTTTATAGTATTTTCCCTATTTTTGTCTATTGCCCTAAAATAACTTAGTTTCCTTCTTGTGTCTTTTTACAGCACTGAACACAGTTGCTTGACAATTGAGAAATAGTGAAAGCAGTCTTCAGAAATCCTTGTTGTGAATTTAGTACGTCTCTTTAGAGAATTGGCCGGTGACTTTTTTCACTGCGTGTTGCTGTCTTATTTCCCAGCAGGGGCCTAGCATAAAACAGAATGATTACGTTTTCTATTAGATGGATGTGAATTGATAGACAGCTTCAAAGTTGTTTTAAGAAGTATTTGTTCCTTGTCAGTTAGTAGGTAAATCAACTGCCAGCTCATTAACTAATTAACCCACTTTTTCAAATTATAAACTTCCATCCCAACTGTTAAGTTTCTAGCAGAAGCAAAGCAAATAAAAAATATTCAGCTTCCTCAAATGCAGTGCCTAATTAGAAAAGTGACCTTTCAGTTATACTTAAAACCAGTCAGTTGTCAAGCTATCAGATTCTTATTTGTCAGTTTTTGTAATTTATCCCTTTTTATATTTAGAGATCAAAATATTTTATATTTGACTGAAGTTTTCCTTTCATATGTGTTTGTGTGGAAGAGTGTAATTAACACAATTTGGCTAAATTTAGATCAGCTGCAAGGAGGATGGGACTCCAAAATTTCACCAGATTCTAACAAAATGATCTGAGTTGCTCAGGATCTGGATGTAGTCAGAAAATCAATTACATGCAGCATAATAGAAATGGCGACATCTTTTGCTGATGAAAATAAATTAGGTCATTGTATTTCTTCTTTATACCAATATGAATTCAACATACTGATTTCTACTTTGATTTCTGGATCCGGAAAGTAATGGTGTCTCTCCATTACACATTCCAATCTTCATTTTGACCTTATATTATTTTAGTATGTCATGTCAAAAGAGAGGAATAAAAAGTAGCAGTCATGTCATAATTAGAGGTGCACTGATAATTGGTCCCATATCAGATCATCACCATTATAGGGAAAATTGACCGTATCAGACATCACCATTTTTGCCTGATGTGGCTGATAAATACCCCCTGCATGTGCACAGCTGCATCATGCATGCGGCCAGGAGCGCAGCTTGGCAGTTTGAAGACCAGCATCTGGCTGGTAAATCTGTTGTGGGGGGAGGGGGGCAGATCAAGGCCCCCACGGTGAGAGAAGTGGGGCAGGGCCAGGTGCTGCACAGCCAGGGCAGGAAATGGGATGGAGCCTTGAGTGGCTCATCCAGGTAAGCAGCTCCTGCTGCTGCGCATACACTGGGAGGGTATGGGGGACATGTGCCCCTGGATCTGCATGTGAGGCAGGGATGGGTGGGCTGGGCTGCAGCTGCAGGCTGGGGTGATACCGGGCTCTTCCCATCAGGGTTGATGGGCCAGGGCTGTGCTTGGGGCAGGAAGCAGTGGCGCTGGGAGGGAGCTACGGGAAGACTACAGCAAATTTTGGGGTGGCTGCAGCTCCCATCCAATAGTCCCCCTTCCAGTACCACCACTGCCCACCCCGAGTGCAGCCCAGGCCTCAGCTCGCCTGCCCTGCATGCAGATCCAGGGGCCCATGCCCTCCAGGGGCACACGTAGCGATGGGAGCCCTCCCCCCCCCCCCCCCCCCCCTCCCCCCCCCCCCCC